TTCAGCCATTGAGGAAATTGTGTGACTGCACAGGTGTCCTGCCATTTAGGGCAACCAGGCATTTAGGTTTTATAGATCCAACCTCACTAGAGAGGAACAATGGCTAAGATGTCTGACGGTGCCTTCAAAGTAGTTACATTCACACCTGCTTCCTTGCTGGAGGCCAGACAAGGTTGCTATCTATCCTCAAAAAAAGGCATGCCTTGGGGGAGGACAGACCAGCAGGTCTAGCGTAATAAAGGCTGTAATAAAGGCTGTAATAAAGGCCTGCCTGAGATGGTGTGAGGTGTATTCTGAAGGTGTAAACAACAGAGAATCAAGGAGAAGGGAAGACCGCTGTGGGTGCTGTGGTAAGCAAGACTCAAGATTGCTTGTAGAAGCAGCTTACTCTTAAAGGATGAGTATGAGCTGAGGAGGATGGAAATTCCCAGCAAGTGAGGGACATTTCCAGGGAAAGGCAATTGTCCAGGGTGGTCTTTGAAACCACCACATTGTCTCCTGACCCAGCTCAGCTCACAGAGGAGAACGCAGGCAGTGTTTGAGGAAAAGGAACAGGCAGGCTCGACAAGACATTTGGGAAAACACTTTGTATTACCCTGGAAAGACAACCAGATCCTTCCCAGAAGTGCAACTCGGGCCCCGGTGTGAACAAGAATTCAAGAGGAAAGAGACTGGAAGCAGCAGTCAGATTTTAAGGGTGGTGAGACTGTCAGGGCAGGAGGTGACTTGAGAGTCTGCACACAGCTGGAAGGGGCTGGCGGTGGGGTCCAAAGAGGCAGGAGTGGTGGGGAATTTAAGGCAGAGTTTTGGTGGGCCTTGAGGATGGTTTCATGATCCCACAGTTACACCACAGTGCAGGAGATCTTGAAAAGCAGAATGGAAACAACAAGAAGCATCTTTCAGCCCCTGAATCAAATGTATTATGGCTGGGGATAAGCAGCCTCAGAATTCTATAATATTTAATTGCCATCACTCATAAGGAAATCATGTCAGTAAAATCAGTAATAACAAATTACCTTTTTTGTGGATTTTTTAAATGTTTTGCTGCCTAGTAGGAGTGGGAGGACTTTCCATGAGGTAATTTTAAATGCACCAATTAACATTTTAACTCTTAATTACAGGAATTGAGGTCACTACTTTGGCACAGAATATATGAAAAAGGAAAATTTAAGAATGTATTTGAGCATAACACTATCCCTTAGAACAGCAATTTTCAACCGGTATGCCACAAGAATGTTTAAAAGGAGCACTGCCTGGCTATTAAGTCCGGGAAACTGACCTCTTTTCCCTTAGATTGTCAAATTAAAAAATGACAACAGCACACACAACAATAGCCATCCAGTGTGAATGAATCCAAATTATACTTTTTTTTTGGTCAGATCGGCCAAAAATAGAAAATATTGTTTGGTGTGCCACAGAATTTTAGTCATTAGTTTGCGTGCCATGAGATGAAAAAGGTTGAAAATCGCTGACTGAGAGTGTGCAGGCCCATTCTCGATCTGTGCAAAAGGAACCAGCCCTGTAGACAAAGGAAATGTAGGCACATAGGAAAACACTATTTGCCGACAAAAACACAGAAAACTAAAATTTGCACATAAACAAATAATATGAACTCTTTATGGGTATTGTAGGATGGTAGGAAAAAAGTAAGCAATAGCTATGAGAATGCTGTCAACATTTCAACAAAAGGCATTTCAATGAAAGGCATTATTATTTTGAGTAACGAAAATTCAAACTCCAAGCTCGTGCATTCGAGTACTATCTTTTTCAATGGCCCTCATGAAATTCAATATCAGTTGTTTCAATGAATGTGGAAAAAGAACGATTCGAATTAGTAATATTCATGAACTTTCCTTTTTTACTTTGAATATGTTAACCTCCTTCAAAAATCACTGCTAATGTTAGCTGCCTCCAGGAAAGGAAATGGTATTGGGCCAGAAAGGGAACTCTAAGGGCTAACTCTAAATACTTCTCTGTTATTCAGTTTCTTCAATGAGCGTTATTCATGGATTACTTATATAACTTAAAATGCATTTTCATAATAAACAAGTCATCCACTGCATTCCTAGGAAACCTTATCATAAATTGGAACTGAATAAAAAACTACTGTGCTTCACTGCTTAAAGACAAATAGAACTAAAATGCCTAAAATATTATAAATCAGGTCATTAAAAGGGGAAATGAAGGCTAACCTCAAAATGAATATTTATTGTAATTATCTTTGGGGGGGGTGGAAATTAAAAGTTTCCCTAAGTGAATCCCCTAAGTAGTTAAGTAACAACCAATTCATTCAAAGCAAATAAAGGACTATAAGTGTTCTTTAGAATTTAAAAATGTATATTTCAATAAGAAAGTTGTATAATTAGGTAATACAGACACTGTCAACAATCTTATAGTTAGGACAAAAAAGTAAGCTAAAAATAACTGGACATTACAAATCTGCTACTGTAAAAATAAAAAATCTAATTATCAAGAGGCATGTGTTTGATGTGGGGTATTTTCCATGGAAATAAATTTGGCATGCACTCCAACTGGTCACTTGAAGTGCCTAAATTTGCTACATCAGTAACCACACACTAAAGCCTAAAGCTGGATTACTATAACCACAGGACTCTCTTCTGTGTTTTGAAGAACATGTATTATCTTTAAATTCCACATTAAAATGTTGGCACACATCTAGCTAACCCTATACTGCAGGGGTTTTTTAATTGTATCTTTATTGTTGAATATATTACATATGTCCCCCTTTTTTCCCTTCGACCCTCTCCACCCCACTCTGGCCCCCCCAGGCCTTCACCACACTATTGTCTGTGTCCATGGTTTATGCACATATGCATATAAATTCTTTGGTTAATCTCTCGCTACTCACCACCACCACCACCACCCCCACATCACCTGAACTTCCCTCTCCCTATAATACACTTTTAAGAGTCAAAAGGAGATTAACCTTTGGGTTAGTCTTCACCTATGAATTTCCTGAACTACATCTCAATTAAAATTTGAAAACAAAGCAATGATCTTTTGAAAAGATGGGAAAGATTTAATCCAGCATTGCTCAACCTTGGCACTACTGTCCTGAGCACTGTAGGATGTTCACCTGCAGCCCGGGGCCCTACCACTAGAGCCAATAGCACCCTCCCTTCCTCCATGTTGCAGCAAACAAACTGTCTGGAAGCAATAACAAATGTCCTCTAGGGGGCAAAATCACCCCTGGCCTAAGAACCACTGATAATCCAATGCTTGGATACCACCCACAAATTTTAGAATTGTGAATAAAGGTAACTCTGGTTTTTAAAGCTGGAAAGAATTATAACTGAAGACAGACGAGGGGAAGTGGATCCACTCACAATGTTAAGTGAGTCAAAAATACCAAGCTACACATAACATACTCTTCTTCAAAATGAATGATTTAATCCAGCCATTTCAACCTTTTTCGTCTCATGGGACACATAAATTAATTACTAAACTTTGGTGGAACACCAAAAAATATATTTTTTGCCAACCTGACAAAAAAAATAGGTATAATTTTGATTTGTTCACACTGGACAGCTATTGCTGTGTTGGTTATTGTCTTTTTTTTTTTCACTTGACAATCTAAGGGAAAAGAGGTCAGTGCCCCTGACTGGTCAGGTACTGCATGTTTTAAGAATTCTTGCAGCACACCAATTGGCAACTACAGGTTTGTTCTAATGATATCTCAATATAGAACTACAACTTACACTTAGAGAAAACCACTTCCTTCCTCCTCCTCCTCCTCCTCCACCACCACCACCATCACCACCATACACACACACACACACACACACACACACACACACACACACACACACACAAAACCCTTGCCATCTTTACTCTCTTCCTCATCATTCACTGGACCTGTCCATTGGTTCTTGGGCCAAAGAGCTTCCCTACAAGTTCAACGGTCACCACTGTCGTCTCATCATTCTGGATCCTTTCACACTCATCTGTACAGCCTTCCCCACCCTCTTCTACTACATGTCCTCTGATTTTAATTTTTAAACCATCATTCTCAAGAATTATTTTCTTCCTTTTTAATCTTCTCACTTTTTTAACATCACCTTTAACACAAATTCTCTTGGGATCTAAATCCAAATATATAAATATACATAATCTCTTACATATGTTCTCTTGGGATATGTAGTTCCATAGCTAAACCCCCTAGTACTGATCTCATTTCAGGCATTGGAAATATTTATGGAGTGCCTTCTCTGAGCCAGGTTCTGTTCTAGAAGTACATTTTGGGATACTTACGTGCAAAAAACATACACAAAAGACCCAGGTAGGGAGGCTCGGGAGGACATAGAGCCTATGAGGGGTCAGTATGATGGGATCACTCTTCATCCAGATATTTCCTATTGCAAAACCAGGCGGTTTGGAAACTCAACTTCTCCATCTTCCTCACAGGCAAGTGTTTAATATTCTGACATTGACTTTTACCATTTTCTCCTTATGTCCTCACATTTATCCTTTCCTCTGGGATTTTATCATTGCTTCTTCCTCTGTAGACATTTTCATACGTAGCAAAGGATCCCATTTCTGAATTTTCGTGCACCTCAAATTACCTGCTTTTCCTATCTGACACAGTCTGTTGAGGGCCTAGTTCAGATTTTTCAACTCCAAATATCTAAAACCTTAAAAAAAAAATAGCCTCAAAGACTCAGGTATCTGCTGCTACCTGGGCAACTTCGACCACTCTGAGGTACCCCTGCAATCTAGTCACCAGTCTGTATATCATGCGAGCTCCTCATCACTGAAACTTGATTTTGACCATTTTTAAGTAATTTTCTCTTATCTTTGTGCTCTCCAGCACAGTAAACATACAGCTTTGGTAGGCAAGTTATAAATCCCAACTTAAGTACATAATAAATGTGGCAGTAGAAAGAATGCAAGATATTCAAATAATAGATATTTGAGTCTTACATGATAACTACTATTTTACCCTGGAATAAACATAAACCCCTAATGGCCTCTAGATTTACCTCAAAAGCTCTCAGTTTGGGGATCATTTCTTCAAGCAAATGCAGATCTTTGGAAACCTTGACCTTCACTTTGTTCCACTTTCCTTGAACATCGTTGAATTCTTGATTATACATTTTTCCTACATCTGGAGAAACGTTTTTCTCCAAAGCCTTTGTTTCTTCTGCAAGTTTAAATAATGTAGGTTTTTTATTCTCAAGGATTTCATCAAGAGCCTGGAAGAAAATTTTAAAAGATTAACAATATGCACAATTTACCTGTACAGATGTAATAATATGAGCTATAAACAGTTAAAAGTCACCTTTTAAAAAGCATTGAATAAAAAAAAAACAAAAAAAACTGTGGCCCAGCCAGCGTGGCTCAGTGGTGAAGCACTGACCTATGAACCAGGAGGTCACAGTTTGATTCCCAGTCAGGGCACATGCCTGGTTACTGGTTCGATCCCCAGTAGGGGGCATGCAGGAGGCACGTGGTTGATGATTCTCTCTCATCATTGATGTTTCTCTCTCTCTCCCCCTCTCCCTTCCTCTCTAAAATCAATAAAAATATATTTTTCAAAGACTGTGAAAAAATCATCAAAAAAATAAGCACAATCAGAAAAGTTAAAGCTTTCCCTTCATGAGTTGTATGTGGGTGAGTGTACATGTAGTGTAGTGTAGTGTAGTGTACTGCATTCTCTACACTAAAAACCTCTGTAATAACACACCCAGTGAGGGCCCAGGTGTGGGGCTCACTCGGTGGCCTGCTTTATCTGATGAAATGGTTCAGAGCCATATATCCTAAATGACCAGAGAAGCATTTTTCCTCAGCATGGAAAAAGTACAACACGTCAATTTAATTGATATTGTTCATTTTGTTAAATATATTTTAGTAGATTATAAATAGGTTGAGAATTTTAAGTTAATTACAATAGAAGAAAAATATGGTTTCATTCTATTAAAATATTTAATATGACTATCTTTTCTTTTAGCTAAGGTGCTACATTATAGTAGCTTCCAATTGTAAGAAATTTTTGGCCAATTATGATCAAAAGTGACTAATGCTTTTTAAATAGTTGAAAAATATATTTCAAAATGTGTGACATATTAGAAGTGACTAGATTTCTAAGACCTAAAATATATATTACCTTTTTTTCCTGCAGGGCCTTCTCCACCTTTGCAGGTTCATTCAAGACATCCAGCGATGTCTGGGCCTTGCTTTCTAAATCATTTAGCATATCTTTCAGAGTTTTCAACGTTTCCAAATATGCATGTCCAGGTTGGCTCTTCATCTCTGTTTATTTAAAAACACTTAGTTTGAGAGAACAATGCTAGAAGCCTAATATTACTGAATATAACATTAATCTTCTGTATATACTAAGGGAATTCTAGTACAAAAAATGTTAAACGCTGTAATTAAAATTTAAAAGGGTCTCTGTTAGCTGCTGAAAACATTCACTGCATCTCTGAGAGTCAGTGACATCATTCCTACGGATGTTGATGTTTGAAATATTAACTGACCCACTATCATTTTTTTCTTCATTGTGTCATGATGAAATGTCTCTCTGAAGATGGTATTACAATGCTTCTCTGTCTCATACCATCTCTTTTTCCCCAGTAGCTATGCAAAGAACAAAAGAAAACAAAGATCCCTTCAGCCAGTCTTCCTCTAAGCGCAAGTGTGCAGACGAACTGCCGTTGCAGACTGGCGGACACTACATGGGACACCACACCAGGCTGCTGCAGGCACCCTGGGAAACAATGCCTGCAAACGCCAACTGGAATGAAGGCTCCTGCACCCGCAAACGTAAAAACCACAGGTAAGCAACGCTTGTGTGGAAAGGAGTAAACTTATTGGAAGCACAAAGTGATGAAGCCAGCTAGCAGCAAAAGTGAAACTAGCAGCATTATTCAGAACAGGCAAAAGGTGGAAACACCCAGATGCCCATCGACAAATGAATGGATAAACAAAATGTAGTGCATACACACAATGGAATATTACTCAGCCTTAAAAAGGAAAGGAATTCTGACACATGTTATGACATAGATGAACTTAGAGAATCTTACACTAAGCAACATAAGCCAGTCACAAGAAAACAAAGACTACTCGATTCCACTTATATGAGGAAGCTTGGGTAGTCAAACTCATTGAAACTGAAAGTAGAATGGTGGGCAGGGCTAGAGGGAGGGGGAAATGGAGAACGCCTGTTGAATGGGGATAGTTTCAGTTTTACAAGATGAAATGAGCTCTGGCGATTGGGTGCACAACAATGTGAGTATATTTAACACTACTGAACGCCACCCTTAAAAATGGTTAAAGTGGTCAAATTAATGTTACATGTATTTTGCCACAATGAAAAACCCAAAAAAATAAAAATAAATTAAATTTTTAAGTAACTAAACATTTCAATTGCCTATGGATCCTTGTCAAAAATGAAAGCATGTTTTGTAACAGTAAATTAAAAAAGAGGTCGTAATGTCAAACATTTGACATTCCAGGTTAACTGAGTTTTATGAACAAGGAGTATGGTGTCTAAATGCCTTTCCAGAAGGAAGGGCATGTGACACATTTGCTCACCAATACACAATCTACAATTGCTGCAGGTAAGGGTATGGTTAAATGTGCAGCTTTTTAACATGCACTGCCCATAACGTTACCTAATACAACACAATTCCTGACTTAAACAACAGCTAAGGAGAAAAAAACATTACATGAGGAATCCGCTCTCAAAACATTTAACAGCTAACTTGCCAAAACCAGGTTTATTCTAAAAGTAAAAACTCTTTTAAAATGTTCAGACTTCAAAACAGGAACATGATTTCTTTTAAAAGAGAAGATGGTACTGCTAAAACTGGAACCAGCTTGAGCAAACTGAAGTAAACTTACCATTCTTTTTAGCCCTTAGTAATGATATTGACTGGCCTCCTTAAAGGAAAGGGAGGAACAGCACCCTTTAATAAAAGCCTGATACCCTATTACCACACGGTTTTAGAGCAGGTGAAAGCTGTTTGTATTTTCACAAACAATTGTGAATCCAGGAAATAGTCTGAATGTGCTTTCTGACTTGGAACAGTAGCAGGCACAGAGGAAAACAGAGTGCGTGTCCTACAAAACAAGCCAACGTGCTAAAGGTCCAAATATTGGGAGGAATTCTTAAATTAGGGCGAACAGGGAGGTGATGCAGGAGACAGCACGTTTACCGTTCTCTAGCTGTTGCTGACGATCCTCTAAATCCTGCTGCACAGATTGGTAGCGGCCCAGGAGGCGTTCAAAGCTCTGCTGGACAAAATCGGGGGCAGAAGGCCTAGACTTCAGGGCTGCGCAGCTGGCACGCACCGTTTCAATTCCGGGGTGGAGGCCAAGGAGACTCGTCAGTTCCCGCTGTGGACGAGAAAACCAGGTCACACAACTCACCGGAGGATGGACGTCCTCACAGAAAGTTGATCAGAGCAGAATTAACCTAACGGTCATGATACAAGGAGCATTCCCTTCACTACAGGACTGGGCACAGAATTCTTTCACATCCGCATGGTGTCTCTCTACCTTCACACTCCGCAAGGCCTGCTGGGGGGATGCCGAAGAGGGGGCATGTTCTAGCCACTCCTCCTTTGTCTTTATGGTCTTGTCAAGCTCGTCGAGTTGCTTAAAATAAGTGTTTGTATCTTCCTGGAGCTGAATCTTTCTTGCCAAATCTTCCAAATGCTGAGATACAGTCTTCCATTCAGATAATACCTTCTCCAGGATATGCTTTATATCTTCAGTCGGAAGACCTTCTACACAGACATGAAAAATAAGCAAACACTTCACATATCCTAAAGTTTGGAATTTGTTATAAAGATTCTAACATACTCAAAATAATGAGGTGATCTCACATATAATGATCATTCCGAAAGTCCCTTTTAACAAAACAAAAAAATATATAGTCATGAAATAAAATAAAATAAAATAAATAAATATAAAATCTAAATTATAATGATGCAATAATATGCTGCTGCTGCTGCTGCTAAAAATAACTGCTCAATTCCTTGACCAAAGTGAGAGAGGGGGAGCTTGAAATGGTGTGCCACGAGTGGTGTGACTATCACAAAAAAGACCATCAGTAGAGCTCAGAACTTCAGCCACTGCCTTTCCTATAGAAGGTGTGTTTGCATCCTTGGCATCCTGGCACTCTGCTAGCTTCTAGCCTAAGCCAGGGAAATAAAACGGACTGTCTGGGGGTGTCTGGGGCTCTGACATCAGAAGGTAGACGCTCTGTTATCAGAAAAAGGGCAGCTGTCTAAAAAAACCAGAAGGCAGCTTAAGTCTTTGGTGACCAAACCACAGTGGCATAGGAATTGCAAAATGAATAGCAAGAATTCCCAGTGCTGGGAGCAGCCTGGGGAGTGTAGGGACAGTCAGCCAGCAGCCAGACCCGCGAGCATTAGCAAGCCTACCCGGCACGCCACACACAGACCAGCAAATACCAGAACATCAATGCAGCAGTAATATTACCTATTTCAGAAATACTTTAGAAAAAATGCCATAATGTTTATTACTGGCATCTTATACTTACTTTTAAGCAGGAATATCCCAACAGTTTTACTTATTTATTTTGATACATTATATCCCCAGGACTTGTTTATCTTATATATAATTTTGCTTGTCTCATTTTTTTTTTTTATTTCAGGGAGGAAGAGGGAGAGAGAGTTAGAAACATCAATGATGAGAGAGAATCATTGATCACCTGCCTCTTGCGTGCCCCCCACTGGGAATCAAGCCTGCAACCTGGCATGTGACCTTGACCAGAATTGAACCCAAGACCCTTCAGTTCGCAGGCTGATGCTCAATCCACTTAGCCAAACCTGCTAGGGCTTATCTCACATTTTTGAGAGTTAGGATGTTCATAGACATAATCAAGTTATCTACTCTAATAATAGACAAATATATAAATTGACCTACCTCCGCATGCCCCACAGCCAATCAGGAGGAAATATGCAAATTAGTGGAAGAAAGATGGCGCCACAGAGCCAGCTGGAGCAGCGGGAGGCTTGGGTTGCCCCCGGAGATGGAGAAAGCCAAGCTTCCCTCCTGGGCCAGCCACCAAAGGAAGGGCCTGTGGGCGGGCACCACGGAGCCGGCCTGAGCTGAGGGAGGCTTGGGTCACCTGGCCAACTGCCGACAGAGGGGCCTGCAAACAGCCCTCAGCCTCTCACCCAGGCTGGCCATACCACCATCGGGGTGAGGGTCCCCGCTGGGGGGCATGGCCAGCCTGAAAAAGGCCTTCAGCCCTCACCCAGGCTGCCATGCCACCATCGGG